AAAAAAAAAAAAAAAATCACTACCATTGCTAACATGATCTGAGTAACGTTGGCTAATAACAGAACGAGTTCATGCAGTTATTATGTCAACGACTGACATGTTCGGTGTGCTTGACATCCTGCGCTCACTTTATCGGCACGTACAGACACTGGAAGAATTTGCGAACTGCATTGTTTTCAAAGAGGGACAGAAAGCAGTGCTCATTGAACAGTCAGACCCAAACCGTTTCAAGTCATTCGTCCGGGGAGTTTTTGTCTGTTTTGACAAGGAGCTACAGCAAGTACCAAGTTGCAGCCAGGTAAGTATTGCCTAAATGAAAAACTATACCGCATGTCCGTTTTGTAGACTCGCACGTCCGTACAACCATGGAACAGTATAGCTAATGCTAACTGGAAGGATATTGTAGAAGTTCATGTTCTACACGAACTTCAGGCTATTTTACTTACAGTTGAACAGGTAACTGTCATCAGAGTTGGCATACTGTAAATAACAGTTTATTAAATGAACAACGACATTAAGGAAATGCATTTTATTGTAAAACATGGGAACATAATAAAAAACAAGAATTACAAGAGCACAAACAATATAGTATCATGGATAAATTTACTTAGTGTTACATGCTAAAATGTCCCTGAAAACATGCCTTGAGTGTTACATACATCTCATATATGCACTGACCACTAAGATGTCAGGTTTATAGCAGACCATCTGATGATGTCTTGATGCATGAAAATAATATGTCAACACTTCATAATCCAACTGGAATGTCAATTGCTTATTCAAGTTGATAGAATTTATTTTATGCTTTCCACAGATCTGCACTCTGCCTGAACTGCTAGCCTTTGTTCTTAACCACCTGAAGCAGAAAAGAAAAAGAAATGTCTTGGCACACGGTTACCATTTCCTGTCCCTGGCTCAGGAAGAGCGAGATGCCGACCATTTCAGATTTCAAGGAGATGTAACTCAAAGTGCTGCCTACATACATGGCAGTGACCTGTGGAAGAAAGTCACAGTACGCCTCGGCACAGACATCACACGGTACCTTTTGGAGAGCTGCTCTGTGTTTGTGGCAGTCCCTCCTTCATGTGTTTTCCAGGTGTGTGGGGTTCCAGTATATGACAGAGTGTCCATGACTACTGCCTCCACTGGGTTTTATCTCCAGCCTCGCTCCAGGACACATAATGGTAAACGGTTTGGAAGGTATCAAGGTTTAGTGACCTTGAAAAGGAGACACAGAGATGCAAATCACAGTAAGAGAAACAGAATAGATGTAAGAGTGAAGATGGGGAAAAGAAAGAGAGAAACAGACCAGAAGTACGAGGAAGGAGTTATGACTGGTTCAAGAAAGAGGAGAAGGGAAGGACAGCAAGAACCCACACAGGGAATCCAACAGGTTTACTGTGAAACAGTGGAGGAAGAACAGCCCATGTCTATGGAACCAACACTCTCTATGAAGCCTTTGGAAAATGGAGGTACCAGTTCTAAACATCCTGGTGAAATGCAAACAACCACACTTCTTTTGGAGGGTGGACCTAGTTGGAGATCAGGGGTTTTCCCCCCTTTACCTCCCTCACAATGTTTTATTCGCACATTGGGATTCTTGTATGCGGGAAGAGGAATGCGAAGCTTCCTTCTCAACAGAAAAAAAAAGAGTGCTGATGGATCCAGAAGGCTACAAGGGCAAGATTTGGTACGAATAGTCTTCTTTGAGGGACTTGCTTATTTAAACGGGCTAGAGAAGAAACCAAAAAAGCTCCCCCAGCGCTTTTTTAACATGGTACCCCTTTTTAGTCAGCTGTTAAGACAACATAAGAGCTGTCCCTACAGCATAATACTGCAGAGGATGTGTCCACTTGTGGACAACAGAGATGCAGGACAGGGAGAATTAAGCTCCCTCTTACCTCAACACTGTGCACCTCACCGGGTCTACCTGTTTGTCAGGGAGTGCCTCTTGGCTGTTATCCCTCAGGAGATGTGGGGCTCCGACTACAACCGGCTTAATTTTTTTGTCAGGGTCAGGGGCTTCTTGTGCAGTGGAAAGTTTGAGAGGCTCTCATTGGCTGAACTGATGTGGAAGATGAAAGTGAATGACTGTGATTGGTTGAAGATCAGTAAGACAGGTAAGACATAGGTGGTCACCTCTTTTTTTTTTTTTTTCCTCCTCCTGTTACATGTATTTTGGCTTATTTAACCAAACCATTCTCCCCTCCAGGCAGGTTCCCTCCCAGTGAGCTCTCATACCGGACACGGATCCTGGGTCAGCTCCTGGCCTGGCTTCTGGACGGCTATGTTGTAAGCCTCGTCCGAGCCTGTTTCTATGTCACTGAGAGCGTGGGCCAGAAGAATGCCCTCAGGTTCTACAGACAAGAAGTGTGGGCCAAATTGCAGGAACTAGCCTTCAGGTACACACATCTGCAAGGGCTCATATTTTTGCAGTCTTGGGACACAAGCAAGCAAACAGTTTTTGTGATTTTAGAGGCCACCTCTCCAAGGGTCAGATGGAGGAGTTGACTCCAAATGAGGTGGCATCCCTCTCCAAAACCACTGTTGTCTCCCGTCTTCGCTTCATTCCCAAGACTGATGGCATGAGGCCCATCACACGAGTCATAGGAGCAGATGCCAAAACAAGGGTACATTTTGACTGTCATAAAGTTGTCTCATACAGTAGGTATCCATGAGATATGTTAAAAGGATTATGCACATGTTTTGTTTTCCCCTTCCCTGCAGCTTTATCAAAGGCATGTCCGAGACCTGCTGGATATGTTGTGGGCCTGTGTGCGCTCTGTTCCCTCCCTCCTGGGCTCCACAGTGTGGGGGATGACCGATATCCACAAAGTGTTGCACTCTCTGGCTCCGACCCAGAAAGACAAGCCACAGCCACTCTACTTTGTGAAGGCTGGTTTCTCTCCTTATTTAGTTGCCCTGGCAGAGACTGACACAATGTTGATGTCTTTTATGTAAAGATCCACAGACGGTCAGCTGGGTTTTAGCTTGACTGGCTGATCACTCTGTGATGTGTGATTCTGTGTTCATCAAATTTACACACACACACAGATGGAGAACGGGACATTACGGTCCAAATTTCTGACAAATAGCACACATTACTAGCCACACATAAAATGTACAGTGTATCCAACCCCTGTTAAAATACAGCAAATAAAAACTACACATACTTTAAAAAGAACTGCATGTTCAGCGGGGCTGATGTAACAGACATTCTTCTGTTTCTATTACCTGTCGGAAAAGCACAAATATTACACATTTTTAGCTGGAGGTTTGTTTGTAAAAAATTGGAAATAGAAAATTGCAATTAGTGCATCTCTAATTTCTGCAGTCCAGGTCATTCATTTTTCTGATAATACTGCTACACAAAATGGTACTGTAGTTTTATTACACATGATAGAAAGTCACTTTCGGCTTTTCCCGTTTAGGGGCCGCCACAGCGAATCGTCACACTGACGACTTGCATGTTGACATTTGGCACGTGTTTTACACCGGATGCCCTTCCTGACGCAACCCTGATTTAAACCCGGGGAGCAGCAGCGAGAGCGCTGCGACTTAACCACTAGCCTACCAGGGATGGCCAGTTTTATTACACATGATATAGGTTTCATTTTGGTTTGTTTAAATGCTGTTTTCCTCCTCACTTTGTTCATTATGCACTTTTTCTGTGTTTAAGGTGGATGTGAGTGGAGCCTATGAGAGTCTGCCTCATGACAAGCTCGCTGAGGTGATTGACCAGGCCCTGTCACCTGCCAAGGATGAAATCTTCACCATCCGCCGCTATGCCAAGATCTGGGCTGATTCTCATGAGGGCCTGAGAAAGGCTTTTGTTCGACAGGTACAATTATACCTACACACACACATACTATACCCATTTGCAGAGGATCTCATTTTTGTCAATATAGGCAGATTTCCTGGAGGACAACATGGGATCTACCAACATGAAAGGGTTTGTGATGTCACTGCAGAAAAGGGGCAAAGTTCATCATGCCATACTGGTGGAGCAGGTGAGACTGACATCCTGTCATGTATTTTGGGTAATGATGTTTGGTACCCTTTTTCCTGCAAATGCTAATTACATATGAGTCTTTAGTAACATTTTGTTCTTCTAGTATTTCTGCTCAGATCTTTATGGCAGAGAAGCATTGCAGTTCTTCACCCAAATGTTAACTGGCAGTGTTGTCCAGTTTGGGAAAAAGTAAGCATTATTGTTATTTTTAGCCCCCAACTTTAAATAGAATTTTATGAGCAGCATGTCATAACAGATTTTCTTTTTATTTATGACATGACCAGGACAGTCAGTCTGACTTTGGTTTTCTGTGTTTCAGAACATACCGTCAGTGCCGAGGAATTCCTCAGGGATCGGTTGTGTCCAGTCTGCTCTGCTGTCTTTGCTACGGACACATGGAAAATGTTCTGTTCAAAAACATTACTGAAAACAAAGGGTACTGCAGACTGCTCTATATTTTGACTTTAACTGATTTCTCTAGACGAGTTTGCATGTTCTCCCTGTGCCTGCATTGGTTCTCTCTGGGTACTCCGGCCTCCTCCCACAGTCTTAAGACATGCAGCTTAGGTTGAGTGGCAACTCTAAATTGCCCCTAGGAGTGTGTGTGTGTTTGTTTGTCTACATGTCAGCCCTGTGATGGACTGCCGACCTGTTCAGGGTGGACCCCGCCTATCGCTCAATGTCATTTTAGATTGGCTCCAGCCGCCCTGTGTACCTATTCAGGAATAAGCGGTGTAGATAATGGATGGATGGATGGTTAATTTCTATAGATGTAGTGACATATCAGCAGCAGTGGAGAGCAGTCTTTCTTCATCTTTCACTCCGTCTCTCCCTAAGGTGTTTGATGAGACTGGTGGATGACTTTCTTATGATCACTCCAGACCTACACGAAGCACAAACCTTTCTCAAGTATGACACACACCAGCTTTTTCATTGCAGGTTATGAGACACAATGGTTCTCAGTGAAGTGCTTCTTTATTTTTTTTCTTTACATAGCTGCACCATATTTACATATTGCTTCAAATATTACAATTATTTAAAGCCTTAATAAAACCCATGACTTAAGATGAAGCAGTGGGTATAACAAGAATGTAGGAAAAGTTAGATGTAATAGATCTATGTATATTAATTTGAGTTAAATTGGCAGCCTTTTTGTTGTTGTTTTATTATTATTATTTTTTGTTACCGGAAGCCATACAAGATATTTTGAAGTAGAGGGCTACAGTATGAGTTGCAGGCCCTGCAGAATCCAACATGAATGTGCCTCAACTTGCATTTCAGTGTAGTTATTACTTAGACTCTTACATTATGTTTCCCTTCTGCTCTCTTCTTTTAGACAAGTTGCATAGTCAGTTACATGGCTAAACATCTTTAAGATTAAAAATAATCTTTTCTGTAGAGAACTTTTCGAAACTCCAGTTACAAAGTGCTTCAGACAAGGCAGCAAATTAAAATCAGCAGTTCATAAAATCACATTGTAAAAGTTAATCAAATTGATAAGGTTTGATATGATACAATCAGTTCCAGTAATGTGAGATAAAAGAAATGGAGACAATTCAAGTACACATTCTTATTTTTTTAATGGAAAAATGTTGATACCCCAAATTTAACACATATTGATTAATTTAGCAGTTAATAATGGCATGTGCACTTTTTGTGCAGGATCTTGCTTGCCGGGGTACCACAGTACGGTCTGGTGGTCAACCCACAGAAGGTGGTGGTCAACTTTCAAGTGTCTGGAAGCGTAGGCCCTTCCCCCGATTCGTGGGATGCACCCTCATTGTCACTTGCCCTGATGTGGACTGCTGCTGGACACACACTCACTGGACATCTACAAAGATTATTCTAGGTGAAACATCCCGTCACTGGCAGTTATACTGTAGAATTATTGTCTTCTTGCCTGACGTGTTATTGGACTTTGTCAGTCTTTATGGTTTCTTGTAAACTGAATCAACCCCCCACCCACCTCCTGTACTTTGTGCTTTCTCATAAATGTACTCCAAAGTGTGGCACAGACATTTAATATTGAATCAAGCACAATGAACATTTATAACCTGGTCTCCATCTGCAGTATTTTTCATGATAAATTCCCTTGTAGTTTCAAGTCACATACTTCTTTTTCTCTCTCCCAGCTATGCAGGCCTGTCTCTGCGCTACAGCCTTACTTTGGGCTCTTTTCACTCAGCTGGACAACAAATGAGGAGGAAACTGATGGCCATCCTCAGGCTCAAATGTCACGCCCTGTTCTTTGACCTGGAGGTCAGGGTAATAATGATTTTAAATGTTGAAAAAAGTTTTCAGAATATACTGTATCTCTGAACCAGTGATGAATGTTGTGTTCAAGTAAAAGCAATATATGTACAGTACAGAAAACCAGGATATCTTTAACAAAGTGCAGTGAAAAGAAATTTAAAAATACCCAGGATTAAATACCTGCAAACTCTGAAGCTAATTTGGCTAGTTTATCATGTAAGGACAAAAAAAGAAGCATTTTAACTGTCCATATATGCTGTGTGTTAACTTTTTGACACAGCTTTAACTTACTATAACTCGGTTTTCCACTTTGGTCCAGGCAGAGTTACATTCAAGCAAAATCTTTAGAAAATATACAGTAAGAAAAAAGGTGTCTGTGAATTGAATAATGTTCAGATTCTAGTTGGTCACACTAATTGGGTACTGCTAGCAGGTAATGCACTCTACATTTACATTGTAATTGATTCTAGCACAGTCTGTATTTTTAGACCTGTGTAGGTTAAACTTATTAAAAATCCCAGTGCACTTGCAGTTTGAAGAGTTTGTCAAGTGACAGGTCCTTTGTAAATGTTTGTCTTCCCCCTGTGGTCAGAAAAGCTCAGCTAGTTGTTTAAAGCCCCTAGACATTGCTCGCAACAAATATCCATTACCCCTGTCCCAGTTAAGGGCTGCCTAGGACACAACCTACATACTAGATGATGCAGTTAGGCAGCCTATATAGACGTGTAGAGTCAAAGGTTACCAGTCAGATGCTACCCTCATATGGTAGCTCAACAATCAGCTACTGAATTTCCCTGTGGTGATTAAGCAGATAGCGTACTCTGGCTATCTTTCAAACAAAGTATTAAATAACACCTATAAACCTGTCAAGTTGCACAATAACTGAGTTTTTGAAACATGGCATTTCATTATAATGCATAATAGATTAACAATGTAGTAGGCTGATGGTAAAACATGTCAGGGAGCAGAAATTATTGACTGAATGACAGGTTAATATCGCTTATGTTATACAGACAGGTGACAAATTAAATGAATATTCAGCATAAAGTGTTTCAGTAAGGTGTTGGGTCACCACGTGCCACCAGAACAGCTTCAGTGCATATTGGCATTGATTCTCCAAGTTTCTTAACTCTGTTGGAGGGTTGATATTCCTTCTTTTGGTGTTTTGATGATGGCGGTGGAGAAGCTAACACATTGGTCTGCAGTCGCCCATAGGTGTTCAACTAGGCTGAGATCTGGTAATTGTAAAAGTCATAGCGTATGATTCACACTGTTTTCATAGTCATCAATGTTATTTTTAATTAATTCCCTTTTGTTTCATTTCTAAAACTGTACTTTTGTGTTGAAAATAATAATCATTTTCTTTCTCAGACCAGTTCTCTTGAGGCCGTCTACCAGAACATCTACAAGCTGGTGCTGCTTCATGCCTGCAGGTAAAGACAGTGTCCTTACTTTTGATTGTTGGTGTCACGTAATTTGCACAGATTCTACTGTTTATTTATTTGTATGATCCATTAAATACCTTAAAGGGGCATTGAGAATAATTTGTTGTCATGGCCCACTTGATGCATTGATCACAAATCAGTGGCTTCATACACTATTCTTCTACTCTTGTATGTGTTCACTGGCCTTGACTTAATAAATAGACCTGTAAAGATAATGCTATTAAAATAAACACAGGGAAGGTTATCAGTCAGTACCTGTACTGAGCTGAGAAGTAATTGTACCACCTTTAATCTTGCAGTGTAAATATCTGAATGGGTAGGGCCCTGTCTCTGTATTGTGTCTCTTTCTGTTTTTTGTTATCCTCTTTAGGTTCCATGTGTGTGCCCAGAGTTTGCCCTTTGGTCAGACAGCTGCTAAGAATCCTGCCTACTTTCTGCAGATGATATGGGACATGGCCAAGTATGCCAATCAGCTCATCAGGCTCAGCAACAAAGGCAACATTTCCCCCTCATACATTTGGAAAAGTAATATTTAAAATATTTAGTTCAAAAACTTATGGTATTTACATCATTTTTTTGTCTCTTTCCATTTCACCAGGATTGATTTTAGGCAGTAAGGCCCAGACTGGCATTGTGCAGTATGAAGCAGTGGAGCTTCTTTTCTGTCTTTCCTTCTTGCTGGTGCTGTCACAACACCGCCCTCTATATAAGGATATACTCCCACAACTGCACAAATGTATGTATCCTCTGGAAATGCACAAACTAAATCACGCAGACTGCCCAAGATGAGTAGCACTACTGTCATGACACATTCTTCTAATAAGAAGAGTCTAATTATATAGAGTCACACCAAAAAGATGCACCAAATACAGTGTACTACACACACCCAACCACACACCTTAAAAAGACAGATGGAAGAAATAGAAACTTTAAAAATTTAAGCACAGATTATATTAACAGAAGAAACAAATGACATTTAAAATCAGAAGTTCTATGAAGCTAAGATGAAGTCTTCAAATGTCTTGTTTTGTCTACCACCAGAGCAAAATCCAACGATACTCAGTTTACAAGCAAATAAGACGGCATTAGATCCTGACCAATCCTGTCTTTATGTTACAAGACAATTAATGAGGTTACCGCTGATGCTACATTAGTGCAAGTTGTATTCTTGCTGCACAGTAAAGATTTAACATTGTTCAAGTTGTTGTGGGAAAGTCACCGGTCAAACCGATTGTCAGTATTTATGTTTCAGCACGATCTTACGAAACTGTATGACTCGCAAGAGAGCGGTGGCATTATATCCCACC